AGGCTCAACGTTTGGACTCCCACAAATCCAAACGGACGGGTCATGCAGCGTGATCTACAAATCCAAAAGTGCCAGGTCTGGTATGAAGACGGTGAATCCAAGAAATGGGCAGGTCTCCATGGAAAGGTCATGGGAATGGCTAGACAATTTCAAAGAAGCACAAGATAGGTCTTGAAAAAGAAAGGCTTGGCAATCCAGAGAAAGACAGGTCTTGAAAGAGAAAGGTATGATAATTACAAAAGTGACGGGTCTAAAAGGACAGGTCAACAGGAAGGACAGGTCAATGAGAATGACTTGATAATTTAGAAGAAGGACAGGTCATGGGAATGACTTGATGATTTCAAAGAAGGACAGGTCATGTGAATGACTTGGTAATTTCAAAGAAGGACAGGTCATGAGAATGACTTGATGATTTCAAAAGTGATAGATCAACATAAATATACTTCCCGCCCTTGATGACTTCCTCACAAGGCCGGTAAGTGGAGGACTTCTTGATGGGTATATCCTTATACCCGACCCGGACAACCGAAAGGGACAGGTCAAAATATGACCGGTCACTTTTATCAATCACCAAATGAGGTTAACTCTTCGATTGGGACGGGTCAAAAGTTGACCGGTCACTTCCACTAAAAAAGTGACCGGTCACATTTTTGGGCGATAGCCAAAATGTCACCTAATGTTACAAAGGACATTCTCTAGAAGACCAGAGACGGGTTGAGCACAAAGAATGACCGGGTAACTTTTGAGAGAAGGTGACCGGTCATATCACTTTACTTGGCTAACATTGGTTCAGTCTCTTAGGCATGGTGAACCACGTCAGAGGTCAAGGGGACACCCCGCCGCTCATCCATCATCCATCACGAGGCACACAGTGAAAGGGATGTTTGTCATTTTGCAGGGTTGATTGGATTGAGAATATCCATTTTAGTCTTTGATTGAACAGTACATGTCTTGGCCTATAGTTGCTAAATTCTATGATTGTACAGTGTTTCCATTATCTACAGTGACCTTCCCACGAGCTTCCTATTTTGTCCATGGATGAACAGGGGAAGGTCACAAATCCTCCTCTATAAATATGATGATATTGGATAGAGGAGGGGATTCAATTTTTCTCTCACTAAAGTTCACTCTTGAGATAGAGTAAGAAATATAATTCGGACTGAGGAGATTTACCCGGTCTAGGTCATACTTTGTGTTCTTGTTGTGTGTTTTATATTACAGGTCGAGTGTGTCCAGGTCAAACCTGGTTAACCCACCCAGCTATATTTACACCATCATAGATCATGTTTTCAACATCAATAATCAAGCAAACTAATATAGTATAAAGTGTATTTAAATTACTAAGAATTCAATAAATTAACATAACAAGAAAATCTAAAGCATATGATTTTTAATAGTTATATTTTATAAAATATAATTGGAGTAAGATGCAAATATATTAATGTTTTTAGATACGGAATATAGTATAGTATAAGGAGTATTGTAAGTTAAATCACAAATCGATGTTGGTCTATCATATAAATTACATTGTATGATTATTCAAATATTCGTTTAGTATTCATTAACTATTCGAATATTAATCAAATACATATTCAAATCTTATTTTGAATTCGTCTCGTATTCGGATTCGTATTCGAAAAAATTAAACAAATACAAATTCAAATATCTCGGTATTCACTTCGATTCGGTTCGTTTACACCCCTACTAGTCCCTCCGTCCTGCAAAAAACTTTTCATTTTGACTTTTAAAGGATTTAAAGAGAGTGTATTTTGATGTAGAATTTCTAAAAATGCTCTTTGATTTGATGGATAAAGTATGATGTGATGGGTAGATTAATTGAGAAAAAGTGTGGTATTATAGGTAGGTTAAAAATTAATAGGGGTAAAAGAGATTTTTTAATAGAAAAGAAAATGGTTTTTTAGAACGGATGAAAAAAGAAAGGAGAAGAGTTTTGTAGGACGAAGGGAGTATAATTTATTTAATTTGTTTAGAACTTTATTTTATTTCATTATACGACTCATGATATTCAATACAAACTTAAAATAAGGTATTTCTAAAATCATATGGATCAGTAAAAAAACACATCTCTTCAAATAATAATCCAACATAAGTACTGCTCCTTGCATATTAATCAATCAATTCACCCCTAAATAATTGGTCATTAATAATTTTCATTAAATAACTAATACATCAATTAATAACCCAAACGAGTCAATTCAAATTAGTGTTCAACATAAAACGTACGTAATTAGAAGATTATTTTATTTGGGAGAATATTAGTTTAATTTATTAGCTAGGATATAAGAGGTCGAGAACCGCGTAAAATCCAATCAACACCGGTAGAGAAACGAATGTGCCAATTATAATCCTGCACAAACAAATCAATAATTATATATATAGTCACTACATTATAAAAGACTACATAGATAATTAATTTGGAAAATAAATAAATATATGAATATACTCAGTAAAAATGGAATAAATGTAATTAGCGATGAGAATATTAAATATTCTCTCCGTCCCAAAAAAATGTTACGTTTCATTTTTTGTGCATCCCTTAAAACACTTTTATATCGTCTCAAATGCCAAAAAAACATTCAAAACAATTTCATCTTATAATAAAGAGTAAATATGATAAATTTTAGAATTTTTAGATGTGAGTAGCCGTGCTTTTTGTGATGCACAAAAAAATGAAATGTAACATTCTTTTTGGGACGGATGGAGTATTAATTTACGACGTACGATGTGCTGAGAACATCGGCATGGATTCCATATTCTTTGGCATAAACGAATGAAGTTACAGCTTGTGGCAATGCGGCCTATTGTTCATGCATGCATGGAATGGAATATATATAATCAAATGAATTAAACATCATTCTTAGGAATTAATTTTTTAAGAAATATGAAAATAAATGCATAATAAATACATTATATTATACTCCTTCGTTTCCGAAAGATTGTCACCGTTAGACTTTTTTAGTCAAACCGTTGCCCCCCTTGACCATGAAATAAATAATATTTCAAATATCTATATATTTCAAAAATTTATTATTTTAAAACTATATTTTAAGATAAATCTTATTTCACAAAATTTACATTATAACTAAATATACATTTCCATAATTCACGGTTAAAAGGTGTCATAGTTTGACCAAAAAAATCAAACTGGCTAGACGGAGGGAGTATATTCCCAGCGTCAAATATATTACTCATTCGTATATTCGTGATCAAAATGAAGCAATACAAAATTTAATATTGACTCTCGTTTTCAAATACTCCCTCCGTCCCATGAAACATGGGATGTTTTGCTTTTTGAAGAGATTTAAGGGAGTGTATTTTGGTATTGAATTTCCAAAAATGTCCTTTGATGTGATGAGTAAAAGTAGGATTTGATGGGTAGATTACTAGTAAAAAGATATGATGTGATAGATAGAGTATGAAAAAGTAAGGGGTAAAAGTGACTTTTTAATAGAAATGAGAAGTGTTTTATGGGACGGATGAAAAAAGAAATGAGAAAGGTTTTATGAGACGGAGAGAGTAGAAAATAAGGAATTTTACAAAGTATTTAATTTGAAAATTAAAGATGACATAAAATAGTCCTTCTGTCCCTAAGATATTTTCTTCTTTTATTTTTTATGTTCTTAAAAATTAGTCGTAGGTGAAAAGTACAACGTTTCTAGTATGAACGTTTTGCGGGCGCAGGCTATAGACCTAATGTCCAACGATGGGAAAGAAAAAATCACTTTTTTAAATTAAAAAAAATCACTTTTTCTTCTATTAATCTTTACCTCACCTATCACATCTAATCTATTTACTAGTATTACACATCCCATGATCACATCAAAGGTAATTTGAAGAATCAAAACATAAATAGTTGTCCCTTAAATTCCTCAAAAATAGGAAAGATACTTTAAGACGGGTGAAATACTCTCCGTCCTTAAAAAAAATTCATAATTTAACTTTTTATATCAAATTGTAATACTATTTGACTGTGAATTATAGAAAAAACATATTTAATTATAATGTAAATTTAGTAAAATTAAGTTTATTTTAATTTTTTATTATTTTAAACTAAATTTAATTTGTGATCAAATGATGCCACGGTTTGACTAAAAAAGTCAAATTATGGCAATCTTTTAGAGAGTGAGGGATATCTTTTAGATATATGTGTACTAAATAACACTAAAACTTGAGTCATTTTCTTAAATAATAAAATTGAGTGAATTATATGAATTATGAAATACCTGCACTGTAGCAATCTTGAAGACTTCACCGTGCAAACGCAAGAGGGCGGCGCCCATGGCGGTTGTCGCCGGTCCGACTACGAACCGCAATACTAAACCGTATACCGTTAAAACCGGACCGCACGATATAATCTTCTCTTGTGACGCCATGAAAAGCCCTACACATACGTATGGGTCCAAAACAATACCGTTCATGCAACTATATTCAAGATAAAATAATTGCATAATATATTAAATCTTTAATTTCTTCCACGATTCTATACTCCTTTCGTCCAAAATTATTGTTAATTAGTAATCTCTCACTTAATTTTAAAAAATCATTTTGAATACTTATTCATAGTATATATAATAAAGAGCATCGAAATATCTTATATTTAGGTGTTATTTAATAGGCGTTACACATCTTAATTATAAAGGATCATGTTAGTAATTTTTGTTTATTGAAGATTACTTTGAAAAAAAACCTTATTAGAAAGGACAATTTTGAGAATTTATTCAAAATATTTTGTCATATTCAGTGAAAAGGATTATTTGTGGAATAGTTTTCAAAAATTGAGTACTGTTTATATATATATGGAATATCTTATAATTGGAGACTAAATATGGAAAAATTACATATAATTGGAGACCATTTATGAAATTTACTTAAATAAATATTCTTGGGTTCATATTATTTACACCCTTCAATCCGTCCCGTTATTTTTGTCTCTTTTCGACTTACGGCGTTTGACAACAAATTTTTTATGAATTTTATCTATATATCGCTGTTGAATTAAATAATAATAATTACATATTTGTATAAGCACATCAACAATTTGACAAAACAAGAATTGATTTGAATATATTAATGGATATTTACGTAAATAGCATCAGGGCCGTCTCCAAGAAATTAGGGGCCCTGTCCGACACGGAGAAAATGTGTCATTGTCTGATAAAAAATTAAAATTTATCAATTAATTTTTTAAATAATATATAACATTGTAGTAATAATAAAATGTCAGACTCATAGTCTAATAAGTTTGCAATTATATACTCCGAACTCTGATACCTGACTGAAGACTCGTGAAGTTGTTCTATTATTCTTGAGAGAAAATAGGTTGATCACCTCTTCATAGTTTATTAGATTTAATGATTTAGAACTGTATTTTTAAAAATAAATCAAGATTATTTTATATAAATAAATATATACATGTAGGTATACAAAAATTGGGCCCCATTCAAAAATGGGCCCTGGCCAAATGACCACCTTGCCCCTCCTTTGAGCCGCCCCTGAATAGCACTAAAACATAATGACTTTCTCTAAATAGTTTTACTGCTATTTAGTGCAAATATTTCTATATTAATTATCAAATGATACTCGCTTCGTTCACCAAACCCCATCTTATTTTGACTTAGGCCCAAAATACGAAAGGGTTTTTTGAAGATGACTTTCTAATTTTGCTCTTGGCGTGATGAGTAAAAATAAGATGTATTGGGTAGATTATTAGAAAAAAAATATAACGTGATAGTTAGGGTAAGAATTAGTATAGATAAATAATTTTTTAATGGAAAGTGAGAGTGCTTGATGAAAGAAAAAAAAATGAAAGATGATGAATTGTGCTGAACGGCGAACTAGATAACATTATGTAAAGAAATAAAGTATATTTATTGTGACCCTATAAACAATATCTTACTCCTTTATTATATACTTCCACCGTCCTTTAAAATTTTTCTCATTTTGACTTTTAAGAGAATTATATTAGAGAAATGATATTTTTATGTTGACTTTTTCAGAGATACCCTTGATGAGATGGGTAGATTGTTAGTAAAAGGTATGATATGATAGGTAATATAAAGATTTAGTAGGAGTAAAAGTAACTTTTTAATAAAAATGGGAAGAACTTTGTGGGAAAAAGAAAAAGGAAAAGAGAAGAAGTTTATGCAAGGGATGGAGTATTTGGTTTTGTAGAATCTTATATCAAAACCTTGAAAAGAAAAAAAAAGTTTATGAGCCTTTGAATTGACAAGGAAGCTACATAAGGTGTTAAATTGAATGTTTTAATGTGGTTTATTTCAAATGTGAGATTTTATTACATTTATCCATTCTTGAGATATACTGCCAAAAAAATCATTAGAAAACGAGGACTCTATTTATTAAAATATACTCTTTCAGTTCCTTAAAACCCTTCCTCTTTCATTTTTTTCCAATTCCCTAAAACACTTCCTTTTTCTATTAAAAACCCACTTTACCTCTACTTTTTCATACCCTACCTATCACATCCTACTTTTCCACTAATAACCAAACTATCATATCTCACTTTTACCCATCACATCAGAGGCAAAAATGGAAAACCAACCAAAATTACGCTTTTCTTATTTTGGCTAAAAGTCAAAACATGAACCTTTTAAGGAAACGGAGGGAGTATTAAAATAAGAAGAAAATAATTAGGATTATTAAAAGTGTAAATTTCATAACTGGCCCCTTAAAACAGGAGATTTTCACATTTAGTCATCTATTATGAAATATTACTCCGGTGGTCTTTCTTTTATGGATACCTTTCTTATCTTTCATAAATAGTCCTTTTACGACCTTGTGTCATGTTGATGTTAATTTGAGAGCTAAAAATATAATTTGAGATCAACTCTATCCTCAGTGACGTATTTTAATATTCGTTAGAAAGACAATACAACAATAATGACTATGATTGTGGACTAAGACTTTGACGAAAGCGGTCTCTGGAATTGTGTATGACAACAAAGATATATGATCATTGAAAATTTATACTTCTAGCCTTCTAATTACCACAAGCATGACAAAATATAAAAAAGACTATTTGTAAAAAAATACTCATAAAAAAGGACTACAAGGATAATACGGAGTATTTGATTATACAAGGCTAAATATTGAAAATCTCAAGTCATAAATAACTAATTAAGAAATTTACTCTTATAAAAAATATAGTCTCATTGGTTTTTCTTTTTTTTAAAGATGGAAGAATAATTTACCAGTAGTGAACATGGCAACACCACTACCAGCCTTGGACATGATCAAGATAGAATCCTCCAAGATGCAAGGCATATGAAAATTCCACCTGAAATTAATTATAATTTAAAAAAACAAAGTAATTTTTTATACGGAGTACATTCATATACATCTTTTTTTCAAATTTGACATTTTACGATATTTAATTTAATACTTTGACCATTAATATCTCTATTTATACATAAATATATATTAAATATAAAAATATTGTTGAAATATTAGAATGATAATATTGCTCATAGAATTATGAAGTACATGATAGAGTATATATAGAAAAGATTTCTAACATAACTAGGAATAGAGAATAGAGTAACTAAAACACAACATCTACTATAAATAGAAATAGGAAGCTGACTAATAATCAAACCAGGGCCAGTCCTGAAAATTCCTATGCCTGGGCCAAAACAGAAAAAGGGCCCTAAAAATCTTATCCCTAATGATCTAACAAATTAACATATGTAAATTAATTATATTTCAATGATAATTAACGCAATATTATTAGGAAAAAATGACAAAATTATAGCATTATAATTTCATACCGTAAAAGCTAGCCAAGGATTCGAGAAGTTCTCCTTGCATTCTTGAGAGCACTACCGTAAAATTCAAGTTCATAAATTCTACTACTTAGTAAAATCAAGTATGAAAAACTGAAAAAGCAAGCAAATAAATAAATGTATCATAATTTAATATCAATTCGTCAATTTTTCTTTTTTAATTGTTTTTTTCTTTTTCAGCACTCCCTCCGTTCTCAAAAACACTTCCTCTTTCATTTTTTTTCACTTCCAACAAAACACTTCCACTTTATATTAAAAAATCACTTTTACCCATACTTTTTCATACTCTACCTATCATATCATACTTTATCTCTAATAATCTATCCATCACATCTTACTTTTACCTATCACATTAAGGACAAAATTGGAAGTCAACTACGTAGTACTCCCTCCGTCCCAAAAAGAATGGGACGGTTTGACTTTTTGGAAAATTAAGGGAGGGATATTTTAGTATTGACTTTCCAAAAATACCCTTGATGTGATGGGTAAAAGTAGGATGTGATGGATAGATTATTAGAAAAAAGGTATGATGTGATAGGTAGGGTATGAAAAAGTAAGGGGTAAAAGTGGTTTTTTAATAGAAATGTAACGGAGTTTACGGGACGCACTTTTTTCTAAACGTAACAAACTTTTTGGGACGGAGGGAGTACAATTTAATACTTGCTTATTTTTACACAAAGTCAGAAGAGGAACACTTTTTCCAAACGGAGGGAGTATTAATTTTTTTATAAATCATAAATTCATATCAAATCGTCACTTTATCAGTTTTAAATTTTTTTTCGGTTTTCAGTTTTTTTATATAAATATATCATAAATAACAAATTCAAATCAATTCATCCAAGTCCAATAAATAACATATAGAACCATTAATTCATTCTATTTCAAAGAATGAAATTAGAAAAGATTTCAAATTAAAAACTAATAATTAACAATTGATTTTAAATCTAAAAAATGAGACAATGAAAGAAAATTAAGATTTAAGAAATAAAAATTACAAAATTGGAAAGTTATGAATAATTGAATATGTAATACTTGGAGGGTGGAGGTGGGTGTCCGGCGGCGTGACGGAGACGCCCTTTCTTCGGATGTTCAGCAATCGGCAGACTCTTCGGCAGTTCGGCAGTTCGGCTGTCCAGTCCTTTCTTTCTTCGGCTGTTGGAGTCTGAAGACTCGTTTTTTTTGTGTCTACGAGGTGAGGGGGAAGGGCTAAGGGGTAGTTAGGTAAGATTGGACTGGGCCTTAAACGGTGGGCTTCGTATATACATACATATATATATATATATACATACATACATATATATATATATATATATATATATAATACTTAAAAGAAAAAATGTGCCCCTAAAATTATTGGGCCCGGCCCGAACGGACACTTTGTCCCCCTATTGGGCCAGCCGGCCCTGAATCAAACATTACCCTAACCAATACTATCAAAAGTAATACTAGTATTATTGTCTAACATCCCCCTTCACTCTGGCTGAACTAATAGGAATCTTAAACACTAGCTGGAAACTAGAAATTTTGAGAAGAGAGAAGTCTGGCGTGCGCCGGTGGTTGCTGACATTGTTAAAAAAGAGAGAAGTCTGACGTGCAACGATGGTTGCTGATGTGGTTAGAAAAGAGAGAAGTTTGACGTGCGCTGGTGGCTGCTCATGTCGTTGGAGAAGAGAAAAGTCTGATGTGCGCCGGTGGCTGTTGACATCGTTGGAGAAGAGAGAAGTCCGACGTGCGCCGGTGGCTGCTGATGTCGTTGGAGAAGAGAAAAAGGGTTGACGTGCGCTTGTAGCTGCTGACGTCGAAGAAGAACAGAGAAGGCTATTGGAGGTGTCTGTTTGATTGAAGATCCTCGACATTCTTTGTCTTTTTCTTGGATTCGGACAATGCCCTGTTTCTTTCTTGAAGAGGTGAGTTGTAGAGGTATTCTTTCTTCTTTCACTACTTCCCTCTTGGCTTTGCTTTTGTCCTCATCTACTTTAGATTTTTATTGGTTCAACAGAAGAGAAAGAGAAGGAAGGTTGATGATTAGAATGAGTGATTTGAGAGAAAAAAAAGTGGGTTAAGAATTGGTGATGGAAAAAGATTTGGGTATGAGATTTTGATATGGTGAATTGGAGAGAAATAACAATCATTTTTTTTTCCTTTTTTTGAGAAGATAGGATGAGTTGAGAGAGTTTGTGAGGAGTTGAGTTTTTTTGAAGAACCATGGAGATGACAAGAGAGAAGTCCCTCCTTTAATGGTTTTCTTGTGCGATTTCAACAGGGGTATTTTTCTTTTTTTTTCATTTGAATGGAGAAGTTGATTTGAGGATAAAAGAAGGAAAATAAAATAGAGGTGAATAAGATGGAGCCGCTGTCGCCGGAATTACCGGCGGCGGCAGTGGAAGCAAAGAACTCTTTTAGGTATATCAAGAACGGTGACCCTGATACCATGTTGAAATATTAGAATAATAATATTGCTCCTAGAATTATAAAGTACATGATAGAGTATATATAGAAGAGACTTCTATAACTATGAATAGAGAATGGAGACTATCTAAAACACATCATCTACTACAAATAAAAATAGAAGCGGACTAGTAATCAAACACGACCATAACCAATACTATCAGAAGTAATAATATTAGTATTATTGTCTAACAAATATGATATCTCAAAACTACGTTTTTGACATAAATCTATTGCTATCAAATTAATATCATAACTCAATATATTTTTTCCTGCAGTTAAATTTTTAAAATGTTAAACACAAGAGTCAAACTAAAAACAGAGATGGAGATAATATATATATACATATATACATACATACATATATATATATATATATATATATATATATATATATATATATATATATATATATATATATATATATATATATATAAGGAGGAATTTATACCTATTGGATATTAGGGCCCAAACCAGGCCAAGAAAGCATGCATAAGAATTAGGATTCTTGGAAAGTTTGATAAACACGGCTTTGATCAACGGCTTCAACGACGGCGAATTGCCTGCCGCTACCGCCGCCGCTGGATTATAACCCCGTTCAAGACCTACTATATCCATTTCTATGGACGAAACACCTCCATTATTGTGATTATTATTGTTTGTATTCTCTGCAGCCCTTGTCGTCGTGTTGTTGTTTAGTAATGACGACATCTGGATCAACCTCGTACGTCGGAACTCGCACCCGAACAACAAGAACGTCAGCCACAACGACAACTGATGACGTCAAGGATAATAAAATCACATCAGAAGATGTACGTACATCAAATAAATTATAAAAATGATATAATTTGATCATGTCAATAATAATGATATTTTGGAAAATTACCTATATAGCATCAAAACATTAAGTTTTTTCTCTGAATAAGACTAGCCAGATTTAATTCAAGAATATTGTATGCACGGCCTGATCTTATTTTTATCTATGTTGTTTGAATTAGAATATCTTGAAAATAACTCCTCTACTTTCGAGTATGCCCGGGGCAAAATCTGCGTATCGATACCCTCACCAACCCTACTCTCGTGAAATCCAATTGGGTTGTTGTTGAATCTTGTATGCACGAGAGACAAAACTTGCATTGATACAAAACTGCTTTTAATTGAAAAAAATACTACATAAGTTCTAATTAGCAAAAACACCTACCAATTGGAGTAACTTGTAGTACTCTTATACCTAATAATTTTTATTTTTTATTTTGTGACGAATGGAGTACATTTTTATTCTGGAAATTTTAAGTCTTGATACCTGAATGGCGGCTGCTTGGAGAAGGATGTCATAGCCCAATGGCCCGTACATGGCTTGCATCAACGGAACCCCTACTACGAGGGTGTTGTTCATGGAGGACAATGAGAAGGTGGTGAGGGACCAATCTAGGCTTCCACTTTTGGCAAAGTTGGCCCACAAGGCGAGGGCGACAATGACTACTGATTTAGTTACAATGTCTGAGGCAAGGAAGGAATAGTTCATCCGATAAGGATGAACCTGTGAGATGAAATGGAAGTTGAAGAATGGGATGACAAAGAAACAATTGAACCGGTTTATGGCGTCGCAATGATCCGGTTTAAACATGTTCCACCACCGGATCGAACCGTAACCCAAGACCATTGCCACGTAGAGTGGGGCCATGGTGGCCACCACCTTGTACACGTCATCCCAACCTATCATTTTCTTTAATTTTTTATGTTAGGTTTGGAGGTAATTCTTCCGTGGGGGGTGAATGAATGAAAGTGTGCTAAATGCTTCTTATATAGAGGAATTGAAGTGGCCATGCCACTTTGTTGAACTTTTACTGGTGGGAAAATTCGTGCATGTACTTGGTTTTTATGGTGAACATCCTTATACTCCGTATAATAAATAGTTGTTTATTACCAAGATAAATTTGTTTAATTTTTTAAAAGAGATGAAATTTTATGGAGAAATTTACTCAAATAGCACAAAAACATAATGACTTTCACTGAAGAGCACTACATGTGTTTTTCTTCCCAATATAGCACTTTTAGTCATTATGCATTAGTCATTATTCAAGTAAATATTCGTCATTACTGGTCATTTTAGACATTATTAAGTGCTACTTAAAAAATAAAACAATTTAAGTACTATTTAGAGAAATGACTTAAGCTTTAGTGCTCTTTAGTGCAAATATTTCAATTTTTTGTGTTAGAAAATCTAACTATATGAATCTTTTGGACCTTAAGCCAACGATAAAAAAAAATTCTCTTATTGGTGTGTACTCTATATCAAAATCACTTACTCCCTCCGTTCCATAAAACCCTTCCTCTTTCGTTTTTTTCAATTCTCTAAAACACTTCCACTTTCTATTAAAAAAACTACTTTTACCCCTACTTTTTCATAGCCTACCTATCACATCATACTTTTTTACTAATAATCAAACTATTACATCTTACTTTTACCCATCATATCAGGGGCAAAATTGGAAAGTCAACCAAAATTACATTTTCCTTATTTTTGCCCAAAATCAAAATGAAATAGTTTTAAGGAACGGAGGAAGTAATAATTAAAATTTACACTTCAATTTGCATGGTAAGCCACATGTTTTACTTTTCAATTAAATAATCACTTAAAATTTACACACTTTACTTTTACGTTGATTGTGAGCCACATATTTTACTTATCAATTAAACATCACAAGATATAAAATTTAATTTTTGATAATCTAAAAATGTAAAATTCATTTTGAAATGAATATTGTAAATAATGGTAAAAAAGTAAAGCAGAATATACTACGTAATTTGATTTTCTTTTTGTTTAGTTATATTTGCACTAAGTACCACTAAAACTTAAGTTATTTCCCTAAATAGTACTTAAATTGTTTTATTCTCTAAATAGCACTTAATAATGTCTATAATGTTCAATGATGGTGAACATTTACTTGAATAAAGACTAATGGAATAATGACTAAAAATGTTACATTGGGAAAAAACACATGTGATGCTATTTAGGGAAAGTCATTATATTTTAGTACTATTTAAGTAAATTCTCTTTTTTGTTTTTGAAAATGTAAAAAAAAGTTGACCTTTAGTGTGAAAAAGAAAGTGGACTTGGTTGACTCTCTTATTTTTGTGGTAAGGCATTCCATTATCAAGTGGAGGCTTGGTACCATGCGTGTCTAGAGCCTCTCACCTCTCTCTCCGTGGAGAGTGCGAGGCAAATACAGAGTATATACAAGTGTTTTTTTGTGTGTTTTTTTTTTATCTTTTTTATTTTTGTTTGGAGGATAAAGAAGATTCCTAGCTATTACATCTATGCTTTGATGGATTATGCTATGTGTACCCCAAGATTTGTACCCCGCAGTTTTGCACCAACATTTTGTGTTGGTGTAAAACTAATTTTTGTTAAATGCACCAACATTTGTGTCCGTGTGAATTTTTATTAACGCACCAACACTTCTGTCGGTGTAAACCATCGAAATGTTTGTGCAAACCTGTGGTGTACAAATGGGGTATATTTGTTGGTGTAAGTGTAGCATGGTCCATGCTTTGATAGGCCGTCTTTTTTTCTTTTTTTTTCTTTTTTTATTTTATTTGAAGAAAGAAAAGATTTGGTTATCAAATGCTCTCATCTATTTTTTTTCTTTGTCATGATAAAATACCTAATTAAAAATTAAAATAGGAATAATTTATTAATAATTAAAATGCTAAAAAAATTTAAGAATTACAAAAATAACGACTTGCCACTGTAGGGTGTGCCACTCCACTCCCATGCCACTCTGTGACTGAACCATGTTTTATTGGTTGTTTTATGCCACGTCACCGTGTGACATTCTTTTTTCTCCTTAGACATTGTTGATGCTCTAATAACCACTCGTATTAAAGGATGGTGGTACTTTTTTAAAGCTTTTTTCTTGTTCTCTGCAATGGCGATTTGAAGGGCTAGCATTTAGCAACATGGGGAATCTCTAACTTCAACCAACCAAACTATACTATGTGGTCTATTGTACATTTGTACAGTACATTCATCATGGATCCTACGTATACTTGCTTTTATGGTAAGTACAGGCGGTACAGCTGTTGTACATTCACTTTTAGTCCCACCATGGCCCAATGCTAGCTGCTAGGGGTAAGCCTTTTAACCGAACGGACCGTCAAATTGAGAGTTTAAAATTCGAATCGATCGAAAATTCAATTTTAGTTTCGATTTCGGTTATTAAGTCTAAACAATCTCGGTTTAATCAGTTCGGTCTCCGGTTATAGGATTTAATGACAAAACCGATTGAAAAACCGATTTCAAAGCTTAGCATATATATATATAAGATTATAAGCCCAACCCCATAAGTTAGCCCAGCCCATAGGTATGTAACTATTAAAATGAAACACAAAGACGTAACGATCAACAAGGAGAACTAAGATTACGTTTTTTTCAAAAGAGGCAAACCCTCGCTTTCGGTACAAATCGAGATGAATACATACATACCTACTTTTCACCTTACAAAGTAACTGATAGAATTTGGGATGAGTATGGACAACTAGATTGAGTAATAAGACACTTGGGCTGAACCACATTAAAAGATTGAATCCAATCGATTAGTTAGTTTAACTCAAGAGCTTATATACCGGATTATTTTACTCTTGGACTTCCGATGTGGGATGCACTTTAAAAGTAACAATGCCCCTTTTATTTTTGAAAATTGAAAGTAAATTTAAATAAAAAGCATAAAAAATTTAAAAAATGGATATGTGTATCAAAACTTAGTTTATATTTCAAAAACTAAAAAAATGAATGATAAAAAGGAGTATTTCGAATGTTTGTGAATATTTATATGTTCATATACAAAAACTAAAACTAAAATAAAAGTATATTAAATATGGTCCGGGGATTTTGGTATGGGGCATCACCTCATACCGTTCCTAGGTACCATACTGACCATTTGGTTCGGTATGGTTCAATTCCTTCTCAGTACTTTTTTTGGTTCGGTATTCTCGGTTTTTGTTGGAAAATTTTGGGATCGGTTTGGTACTTGCTCACCCCTACCTCTGGTCAACGATTATCCCTACGGCTGCGAGTATTTGTGATACATAGCATCCTAAGTGCTCTAGAAGTGTCGATTCTTTATCCTCGAAGCTTATACTGTGACAACCAATCTGCTTTATTTATTGCATCCAACCCTGTGTTAGTTTCACATACGTATTAAGCATATTGATATTGATTGTCAAACAGTTCGCGAGTCTCTTCAGCTAGCACCATGAGGTGTCCACACGATATGTTCCTACTCGTTATCAGCTCCCTTGCAGATATTTTTTATCAAAGCATTGTCAAAATCCATATTTGACTTTTTATTGTGCAAGCAGGCAGAAGCTATATTTTATATGAATTGAAATATTGTATTAACATTTGACCTACAATGGAATAAAACCTACATGCCATATTAATTAGATATAGAAAATAGTATTTTAAAAATATTTTACACAATACATATAATGAAATTATTTTTATATGAATATCTAATATAAATTTTATTTAATAAAGTATCATAGTTTATCAATTTTGACTTCAAAAAATTAAAACTGGATAAATATTCTTAGAAAAAAGTATTTTCTTGATCTCAAATAAAAGACAATTTTGTCCAACTTTGAATATAACACTCATATTTGATATATTACTTCCGTCCCAAAATGATTTACTTCTTTACTATTATAATCTCTTGATATTTTTTGTTTGTTTGCATATTTTCATTGATGATTTGATAAAATAAAATATTATTATCATCTCTTATTTTATAAAACTTTTGGTTTAATTTTGAAATATATAATCTTTATTTTTTATTTCAATACCAATTGGTAAACAAAATTATTTCCAAATTCAAAAAATTTTTAAACGTTGATAAAAAAGGTTTATGTATTTCATTTTGGGACGAAGCGACAAAAAAACATGGCAATAGTTAAATTAAATGATGATATGGCATTGGGTAGGAGTGAGCATTGGTCGGTTTCGGTCATAAACCAAAATAACCGAACTATATATTGGTTTATAATAACTGATTGAAACCGAACCGTCTTTAAGGGATAACAAACTAAACCGAAACCACTTTAACCGAAGAGTTACTGTCAGTTTTAAAAAACCAAACTTCACTGCTGCTACAAAAAAACAATTCTAACATTCTAATTATTACTCATCCACAACCACCAACATGATCAAGATTCAAGAATCAGATTAATACCAATATTTAAAACAAATCAGGTAGTCAAGGAGATGAATCAGATGATCACAAGATAAGCAATGAAAAGAGAAGCCGAGATGGAGAGTACATGCGTTGTGAATGCCAAGTAGCAAAATAGTCTTCGTGATGACTATAAATAGGGGTGAGCAAGTACCGAACCGATGGAGGTAAGGTGTGGATCGGATGTCTCATTTTGCAAGCCAAGAATGGAGAACCAAGAAGGCTTCTTGAGAATGCTTGTGAGTGAGGTGTAGAGAAGTGTTCTGAATACAAATTAAAGAGAGAAGTGTGATACTCGTGGAATGGTAATCTCTCTAGTGCATTTTTTTAAATTACAAATTCCTTTTCTGAAGTCGTATTTTTATACTATTCAGTGTGTGCGTGAGTGTACAAGAACTTAATTAATTGTGTGAATCGGGGAAAATAAATCGAGAAACATATCAATTCCCCAACACTTAGCATACTAATTAAATATTTCATCAAAATATAAAATTACACAATAAATGAACCAAACTAGTATTTGTCTATTTGACTCATCAGCTCCAAAACTAAAATTATCCGAACCAAACTGATCGAATCCAAACTATATATATATATCCATACCTAATT